CCCCCTGGGAGAGCTCAATTTTCCCTGAAAGTAGAGACGCTTAATTGCACTGCCTGGTCATCGCTGCAGCGATGGCTCCCGCATTGCACGTCGCACATCATCCTGCTCCAGGAGCACCACCTGCGCCTCGGCGATGAAGCTGACCGAGCTTCGTCCTGGGCCAAGGTCCACGGGTGGCAAATACTTCTCACTCCTGCCCTCTCCACCCCGTCGGGGGGGACGTCGGCTGGAGTAGGCATCATGGTCAGAGATTTCCTGGGCCTTCGGCCCCCGCCAGGTGGTCACGTTTTGGTCCCTCATAGGGTCGTAGGTGCCATCGTCAATATTCCAGGCGGCGACGCGCTGTACGTCGCCAGTGCGTACCTCCATCACTCCCAGGGGCTCAGCGACCTGAACCTGGGGCTCCTCTCGCACGTGGCCGCTGCATTGGAGGTTTGGGCTGGACCTTACATTCTGGGAGCTGATTTCAATATGGAACCGTCGGTTTTTCAGGAGTCTGAGTTTGCGAAGTCCTGTGGGGGACGTGTGGTGATTCCTGAGGCTGCTTCTGGATCCTGCCTTTCTACTGGAGGGACCCGCCTTCTGGACTTCTTCGTGGTCTCTTTGGGCTTATCTAAAGGTCTGGCGAAAGTTCAGGTTGAGCTTGACGCGTGCACTTCACCTCACTCACCTGTGTCCATGGAATTCTATCCGCAGCTGGCGCAGCTTTACGGATTGAGGTTCCGCCGACCCCCACCTATCCCTGTGGATCCTATAGTTGGGCCTCAGCCTCAGCCTCCTAACTGGGACTCTGCGAGGGCCCTTGGGCAGCAGCTTTTGGATGCGCTGCACTCTGGGCACACTCAGACTGTCCAGAATATGTTGGATGCTGTGTACTCGTCTTGGGCTAATCTTTCTGAGCGCGAGTTGGCCGACTCGAGGGGCGTCCAGCTGCCATGTTTAGGAGCACGGTCCAAGGCGCCGCAGATGTACTGGGCGCTGGTTTTGGAGCAGGACAGGAAGCCCCCAGTGCGACAGCCCCTGTGCTATGCAATCAAGTGGCTGAGTTTGAAGTTCAGAATGTACGTTTCGTTGCTCGACGCTCCTGGCCCCGAAGCGGTCAGGCAGGCCAGGGAGCTACGTCGAGTTGTGTTGAATCCACCCGTCTTTTTGCATGCAGGATTGGCTCATCATCAGCGGTGGTATAATGAAGTTTGTGCTGCAGTACAGAGCTCTCACGACTCCGACGTTTACGGGGCTCTTTGTGCTCAGCTTGATGTTGCCGTGGCTGCTGCTGAAGCCATCGCCCAGCAGGAAGCTTTAAGTGGATGGAAGCAGTGGCTACTCGACAAGGTGGAAGCAGGTGCTAAGCGTGCGCACTCGGTCGTTCGTGGTTTCACTCCGTGGGCTCCGACTACGGCATTGCTATCCAATGGTGTCGTCGTGGCTGACCCCCAGGCTCTCCTCGATGCACAAGCTAAGCAATATGAGCAACTGTGGCATGCTCACCCGCAACCTCGGCCTCAATCGGACACCTTTCAGCCTCTTCCCTCCCTACCTCGGCTGGCTCCAGATGATCTCAGGGCTTGTAGTCGCAAGTTTCCCAGAATGACGGCTACCTCGGTCGACGGCTTTCACATGCGCCACTTCGCGTCGTTGTCGGATGCCTCGCTCGACCTCCTCTCAGTCATTTACACAGCCATGGAAGTGAGCAACCTCATCCCGAAGCAGGCTGCGATCACTATAATGTCTCTCATCGGCAAGCAGGCTGGGGGCTTCCGACCCATCGGCATTTTCTCCTCCATTTATCGTTTGTGGGGCAAGGGGAGAAGAGGATACGCCACGCGATGGGAGGAGAACAATCGTCGGCCCTTTTTTGCTGCTGGCAAGTTTACCTCGTCCACCGACGTGGTCTGGCGGCAGTCTGTGAAGGGAGAGGTTGGTGTTCGTGACGGCAAGGTTTCTGCCATTTTGCTCTGGGACCTGGTCAAGTGCTTTGAATCGATTAACCTCGACCTCTTGCTCCACAGGTGTGCCCAGCATGGCTTTGACATGACCGTTGCGCGACTGGTGGTTTCCATGTATAGCAACGCTCGTTTCGTCACCATGGGCCAGCTTCTGCGAGGCCCGTTCTATGTACAGCATGGCATCGTCGCAGGCTGCCCCTTCGCCACGACGATGGTGAGGATTTTCGTCATAGGCCCCCTCGACTCGGCAGGCATCCCACGTACTGTTTCGCTCGACGTTTACATCGATGACTATGGGCTGTCGACAGTCGGTACTACCTCGGAAGTTGTATATGACCTGTCAAGGGCGGCTGCTTCATTGCACGATGCCATCGTGGACGACATAGGTGGCAGTATTTCGCATGACAAGGCCAACCTTGTGGCCTCCCATCGCCATGTTGCAGTCGAACTGCGCAAGCGACTGGGAGCTCTGGCTGGCAAGCGAGTTGTTTCTTCTGCAGCTAACCTTGGGATCGACCACACTTCGGGCAGGCCTAGGAGGGCCCCTACTCGGTCGAAGGTGTTTCGGGTGCGTATGCTCACGCTCAAGCACAAGACCAAACGACTGCAGAAGATACGACAGGCTTTAGGAAGGCACTCCAGGAAGCTGTTTATCACAGGCCCTCTGCCTGGGTACTATTATGGAAGTGAAGTTCACGGGGTCTCTGATGCTGAATGGGGGCGTGTTCGGCGTGCGTTCGGTCGTTGTATCAGGCCCAAGGCTGGGTCCCGCTCGCTCACTTCAGCTGTTATCCTGGAAAAGGACCCTACGTACTACGGGCCCATTGCGCCCATCCTGAGGTATGCCAAGGAGCTCTGGGGGACCCATATGCGCTCTTTTACGTTTACCCTGTCCTGGCCTGAGCTTCGCGCTTCTTGGGAGTCCGTTTTCTTGGGACCAGGACCCGACAACTGGAAGCAGGTCTCGGGGCCCATCAGTGCCATGAAGCTCAGTTTGCAGCGCATTGGGTGGTCGATGCCCAGTTTCACGGTCATGAGGGACCAGTTTGGTGTGGACCTGCCGCTCACCTTGGTCAGCCCCGCTCTTCTGAAGCGCCACCTTAGGCAGGCGGTGCTCCACCTTCATGAGCGACGCGCAGGTGCCAAGTTTCTGCCCTCTCTTCCGCAGCCTGTCCGAGTATGTCATGATCAGGTGTATGCAATGTTGCAATCTTCCAAGTGGACCCCGCGGGAGAAGGGCTCTATGAAGGCCCTCGCGTGCTCGGCTGTGTGGACCAAGTCTCGGGCACGCAGTGCTGGCTATGATCAGGGCGACGTACTTTGTGTGCTTTGTGGAGGTGCTGAGGACACCCTCTTGCATAGATTGTGGCACTGCCCCGCTTGTGAAGATATACGCAGGGAAGTACTAGGTAAGGATGCTCGGCTTGCCCCTCCCCTGGACCTCTCGGAGCAGAGTGACCCCGAGCAGTACCTACTGTATACCCGTGGACTATACGTACACCCAGGTGATTACCTCCCCCGTCCAGCACATGAAATTGATGGCCCTGGTTCTGGGATTCAGGTGTCTTGGACTGGGGACCCGTAAAACACCAGCACCTCCGTCAGCGGTAGGTTATATGTAGACGGCTCATGTTTTAGGAATGTGTCTCCTGAGCTCTCCAGGGCGGGGTGGTCTGTGGTTAGCGTCTCAGAAGCGGGAGAAGTGCAGTGTGTTATCTCGGGGCCGCTCCTGGCCCACTTTCCCCAAACTTCTCAAGCTTCTGAGTATGCCGCATACTGTATTGCCGCCCAGTGTGGGGTAGAGGGCAGTCACATCTACAGTGACTGTCAGAATGTGGTCAGCGCCTCTCTCGACCCCATCCCAGCGCGGCTGTCTTTTCGCCGTCCGTATGCAGGCTTTATGCTTCAGGCGTTGGGCCCTATCGCCAGTGCTGTCAGTAAGGTCAAGGGGCATGTCCTCGATAGCCCCGACCTCTCCGATGAGGCGAGGGCCCACAAGCTAGGCAACGATAGTGCTGACCAGGCTGCTCGCCTCGCCGCCCTGAGGCATCCGGCCCCCGCTCCAGTGGACGCTGAGCGTGCCGCGCGCTCGGCGCGTATTGCGAGGGCGGTCTGCAGGCTCGCTGCACGGGTCATGTCTCTCTGGCCCAGGCTTGATCTTTCGGAGGCCTCCAGGACCAAGCCCCCCTCTTCCTCGAGGCCTCCTCTCCTCCCTTCTCATTCCTGGTCCTGGGAAGGCAGGTTTTGGATTTGTAGTTCTTGCTTTCGGTGTGCCCGTGGCCCCCAGAAGCCCCATCCTGGACGGTGCCGAGGCGCGGCCACCATCAAAGGGATCACGGGCCAAGGGCTGCTGGACCATGGGCACAGACCCATCTTTTTTGAAGTGAATCAGGGAGGGGGCATGCTTGTCGCCTGCACCCGCTGCTGTTACTATACGTGTGGTGGGCAGGTCAGGAAGCTCGGCAAGCCGTGCTGTGGGCCCCCCGACCCCAAGCGCAAGTCTGACCATGGTAGGAGGCATGCCTGGGGCGA